CAACCCAATAGCAATGGCCTCCAACCTACCAGCAATGGCCTCCAACCTACCAGCGATGGCCTCCAACCCAATAGCAATGGCCTCCAACCTACCAGCGATGGCCTCCAACACAATAGCGATGGCCTCCAACCTAATAGCTAATGGCCTCCAACCCAATAGTGCTCGCCTCCAACCTAATAGCAATGGCCTCCAACCTACCAGCGATGGCCTCCAACCCAATAGCAATGGCCTCCAACCTACCAGCAATGCCCTCCAACCTACCAGCAATGCCCTCCAACCCAATAGTGATGGCCTCCAACCTAATAACATTGGCCTCCAACCTACCAGCTATGGCCTCCAACCCAATAGTGATGGCCTCCAACCCTATAGCTAATGGCCTCCAACCTGAGCGATGACCTCCAACCAAATAAGGATGGCCTCCAACCTAGTAGCAATGGCCTCCAACCTACCAGCGATGGCCTCCAACCAAATGGCAATGGCCTCCAACCTAGTAGCAATGGCCTCCAACCTACCATCGATGGCCTCCAACCCAATAGCGATGGCCTCCAACCTAATAGCAATGGCCTCCAACCTCAGGGATGGCCTCCAACCCAATAGCGATGGCCTCCAACCTAATAGCAATGGCCTCCAACCTACCAGCGATGGCCTCCAACCCAATAGCGATGACCTCCAACCCACTAGCGATGGCCCTCCAACCTACCATCGATGGCCTCCAACCTAATAGCAATGGCCCCCAACCTACCAGCGATGGCCTCCAACCCAATAGTGATGGCCCAACCTAATTGCAATGGCCTCCAACGTACCAGCGAGGCCAACCCAATAGCGATGGCCTCCAACCTAATAACCGATTGCCTCCAACCTACCGATGAAATAGTAATGGCCTCCAAGCTAATAGCAATGGCCTCCAACCTACCAGGGATGGCCTCCAACCAAATAGCGATGGCCTCCAACCCAATAGTGGCCTCCAACCTACCATCGATGGCCTCCAACCCAATAGCGATGGCCTGCAACCTAATAGCAATGGCCTCCAACCTATCAACGTTGGCCTCCAACCCAGAAGCGATGGCCTCCAACCTACTAGTGATGGCCTCCAACCTAATGGCAATTGCCTCCAATCAAATAGCAATGCCCTCCAACCTACTAGCACTGGCCTCCAACCCACAAGCTATGGCCTCCAACCTACTAGCGATGGCCTCCAACCTACTAGCAATGGCCTCCAACGTAGAAGCGATGGCCTCCAACCTAATAGCAATGGCCTCCAACCCACTAGCGATGGCCTCCAACCTAGTAGCAATGGCCCCCAACCTACTAGCGGCGGCCTCCAACCAAATAGCAATGGCCTCCAACCTCAGGGATGGCCTCCAACCCAATAGCGATGGCCTCACACCTAATAGCAATGGCCTCCAACCTACCAGCGATGGCCGCACAACGCAACAGTCCACCAAATTGATCTCACGAATCGGGAAGAAAGGTCCAAAAAAGGAAAAAGGTCCAAACAAAAGTGCCACGCTACTAATAACAAGTGCCTTACTAGTAGTAACAAGAAGCTACTAGTAACAAGTGCCACGCTACTAATAACAAGTGCCTTACTAGTAGTAACAAGAAGCTACTAGTAACAAGTGCCACGCTACTAATAACAAGTGCCTTACTAGTAGTAACAAGAAGCTACTAGTAACAAGTGCCACGCTACTAATAACAAGTGCCTTACTAGTAGTAACAAGAAGCTACTAGTAACAAGTGCCACGCTACTAATAACGAGTGCCTTACTAGTAGTAACAAGAAGCTACTAGTAACAAGTGCCACGCTACTAATAACATGTGCCTTACTAGTAGTAACAAGAAGCTACTAGTAACAAGTGCCACGCTACTAATAAGAAGTGCCTTACTAGTAGTAACAAGAAGCTACTAGTAACAAGTGCCACGCTACTAATAAGAAGTGCCTTACTAGTAGTAACAAGAAGCTACTAGTAACAAGTGCCACGCTACTAATAAGAAGTGCCTTACTAGTAGTAACAAGAAGCTACTAGTAACAAGTGCCACGCTACTAATAACAAGTGCCTTAGTAGTAGTAACAAGAAGCTACTAGTAACAAGTGCCACGCTACTAATAACAAGTGCCTTACTAGTAGTAACAAGAAGCTACTAGTAACAAGTGCCACGCTACTAAAAAAGTGCCTTACTAGTAGTAACAAGACATTACTAGTAACAAGTGCCACGCTACTAATAACGAGCGCCTTACTAGTAGTAACAAGAAGCTACTAGTAACAAGTGCCACGCTACTAAAAAAGTGCCTTACTAGTAGTAACAATACATTACTAGTAACAAGTGCCACGCTACAAATAACAAGTGCCTTACTAGTAGTAACAAGAAGCTACTAGTAACAAGTGCCACGCTACTAATAACAAGTGCCTTACTAGTAGTAAGAAGAAGCTATTAATTTTCCTTTCCTTTTTAGCTTTTAGACCTTTGGGAGCTGTCCAGGATCCACAGCCACCTGGACCAATCCAGCGAGGTCGGAGTCGCATCGTTGCAAAACCGCTTCTTCCCTTTTCTTCCGCCTCCTGACAGTGTAGCTGTCCCTCCTGACTTATACCAGGACAAAGAACAGGAAATCAATCTGCAAAGTTGAGCAGCTGAAACTTACTCCAGAAAACTCCATGGTTGGTCTTTGGATCGCTCAACAAACTCTGAAAGTGCTAGGCCTAGACCCCAGGGTGATGAACCCGGCAACTTGGCCGCTCTTAATGCACAGTGTGAACGGACTGGACTGCGACATGTACCGCTCTGAGCACTGCGTCTGAGCCATGCACTACTGACAGGTCTCGTCTCTCACTAATTAGTGTTTGTTTTTTTTCAGTGTTTTTGGGGTCAACAAACAGATGGGTCCTTTGTGTTTGGAAAGGCAACCTCCCTAGTGCTGTTTAGAAGCCAACATCTTGCACCGTTTCCAAACTGTCCAACCTGCTGATTGATTCTCCTTTAGGCAGCTATGGCCGCTTTGCAGGCATCGTTCGGAGCAGGTGTGGGTAGCAGGGCTGCGGACTCCGGACAGTTGACGTTTACCTAGGGCACTAATGCCCATTAATGCCCAAGGTTTGTTGGGAAAGCGAATCACCCCGTTCAATCAATGATGTATTGGAAGTTGCTTCTGTGCATTTGGAAAATATTAACTTGGCTTTTGCTTGCAAAAGTAAATCCAGACTCGTGGCTGAGCAATGCTTTCAAACGCGTGCGCGTGTCAGAGATCTTGACATTGCTAGGTGGCCCGATGGCCAGTCCCCCTTGGTCCTATGGCATTCCAATGGTGTCTTGGAGGAACTGATTCCACGCAAATCGATGAGACTCTGCAGCATGTGCTATTTGCTTTAGTGAATCTACCAAAGAAGAGATTGCACAGATGTGCTTAGCGCCACGCTGAACAGACACGCAAGTCTTCAGCAGTGACCTATCGATATCTT